CCCCACCCCCACGCTCCCCCGCCACCGTCTCTGTTGCAAGAAGCTGCTGTTTTAGAGGAATGTGCTTGTTTTTTTTTATCACTTTCCTGTTATCAAAGCAAAGAGAAACCAGCAGACTGGACAGTAACTCAGTGGAAAAGAAGACTGTATCTGCTGATTTTGAAAGTTTTATCCAGAATGGGGCCAAAGAAAACATTCACTTCCTCCAGTAATATCCCATGAGTTTGATCCACCCCCTCCCACCCCTTTTCCTTGAAGAGGTAAATTTTAGTCCAGGAAAAGAGTAATATGGGCTTCTTGGGGGGAATAAAAACCAAACTGTGCTATAAAATTTCTTCCCCTGCCCTGACTTCCTAACACCTAGATGACAGTTCCTCCTTGGCACTAACCTTGATTCTGTTTGTGGATTTATAGTGACAGTGAGCTGAAAGAGTCCTGCAAATTTGACCTGATTTAGCCATTTCTGTGCTTGCTCTGTAGCCATTACTCCTCTGGGAAGGGCTCAACTGGACTTGACCTGGACCTACCTCAGGAGAGGCGTCTGTTGCTGAAAATGGAGATTCAGTGTGATGTCTCTTGCTTGACCTGTCTTGTTCTTTTAACTGAAAGAGATAGGAGGGGCAGTGGCATAAAATACAGATCTCAGCAGAGAGGGAGACAGACTTTGAAGACCAGCGGCTGGAGTGTGTCACAGTGACTTCTTTTCCTGCAAGTGGTGAATTGTTTGTGGGACTGAGTTGTGAAGAATACGTTGGTTCCCTTAGGCATTGCATCAAAGGGTTCAGAGTATTCTTTATTGTTTGGTTCTCTTGCTTAACACACATGTTCTCAGGAGCTACCAGTGAACTGTGATGTGTCGTCTCATTATGGTTTCAAGTATTGCACAGCCTATCGCATGGTTTTCTTCATCTTCAAGGGTTTGGAAACACTTGAGTTCCCCGCCCCCCCCGCAGGCAGTAGTGGAATACCTATGACCTCCCACTCCTTTGGGTTGGTTCTGGAGTGTGGTGAGAAAGCCTCGGATAGGCTGGGATAGGCTGCCAACAAAAATAGAATGTGCAATCATTTCCCTGTTTTGGGAGTAAGATTCCGGGTTGATGGGCTAGGCTCAGATTGTGCTGGGTTACTGTACACCCAGAGAGCCGTGGGTCGGTCTCAAGTCATCACGTGAAATTTCGTTGCCACATCCCTGGCCTAACCCTTGGAGGATTTCTTCGCGCTGCTGCTTGTATAGCGTAGCTAAGAGGCATGGGGTACATGATGGAGGAACAGCCTGTGGGGTTACTTCATTGTCAAATCACCAGGATGAGTACTTTCTGAAGGTTTTTGTGGGTCTAATCCCTTGCTGGATTGTGAGATTTGCACTTGTGAGATTGACTTCATCCTTCTCTTAGGGAATTTACAGAGTGGTTGGGGAGCCCAAAGGACAATCAGGTGACAAAGACTGGATGAAACACAATTCTGCACTGAGTTGTGTGGTTCAGTTTGGCTGGAATGGTGGTTCTAAACTAAGGACAATTTCCCCCCCCCTCCCCCCCCAAGGGACTTTTAGCAATGTTTAGACATTGTTGATTGTCGCAAAACCAGCCAGGGGTGGAGTGGGGTATAGATACTGGCATATATTGAATAGTGGCTAGGGATGCTGCTCCACATACTATAATGCACAGGAGGGTCGCCACAGCAAAGGGTTATCTGACTCCAAATGTCAGTACAGTTGTCCCTCAGTATTCACAAGAGTTTGGTTCCACAAGCCCTGCAGATAACCAAAATCTGAGGCTGCTCAAATCCTCCATGTAAAATAACTGTGTACACTTGGCTTTCAGCATATGTAGGTTCTGCATCTGTGGATACGGCTCATCTGGGATTGATCCTGCGGGTACCAAGGGCTGATGAGCCAAGGTGGAGACAGGATGGGCGGAAAACGACTGCTGCATAGTATGTGGCACTTTGCTCAGGAGGCAGTCACAAGCCACAGGCCTCAGGGCAGGTGAACTGAGATGTTTTAATAAAGAGGAAGGAAATAGGGGTACTTTTTCCTGCTGCTTTCTAAGCAATATGCGTTATCTGCCCAGAAGTTTAGAATCTTAACATCTTGGTTGCCCCTATCAGCAGAAACTATGCCTTCTCAAGAACAGGTTTAGAGTTCACTCTTTATGGCCAGTAGATAAGATCAAACCCTTTTGGAACTGACATTTTATCTCTGAAAAATCTGTACAACCACCCCCAGAAGGGTAGAATCTCAGAATTGCCCAAATATCAATAACTTTATACAGCTTAAAGAACAATTGTTTAGTCACTCAGTCATGTCCAACTGCTGTGACCCCACTAACTATAACCCGCCAGTCTCCTCTGTCCATGTGATTTTCCAGGCAAGAGTACTGGTATGGGTTGCCATTCCTTCTCCAGAAGATCTTCCCAACCCAGGGATGGAACCTGCATCTCCTGCTTGACAGGCAGACTCTTTACCATTGATCCTCCTGGGGAGCCGTAAAGAACAATTAGGCTACGGTTATTTTAATAACAATCCATATTTCAAGCTGGATGCCTATTGCAGTGGCCCTTTGCTGTTCAGTCGCTCAGTTGTGTCCAACTCTTTGTGACCCCATGGACTGCAGCATGCCAGGCTTCCCTGTCCCTCACCCTCTCCCAGAGTTTGCTCAAACTCTGTCCATTGAGTCTGTGATTCCATCCAACCGTCTCATCCTCTGTTGTCCCCTTTTCCTCCTGTCTTCTGTCTTTCCTAGCATCAGGGACTTTTCCAATGAGTCGGCTCTTTGCATCAGGTGGCCAAAGTATTGGGAGTTTCAGCTACAGTGTCAGTCCTTCCAATGAATATTAAGGATTGATCTCCTTAGGATTGACTAGTTTGATCTCCTGCAGTCCAAGGACTCTCAAGAGTCTCCTCCAGCATCACAGTTCGAAGGCATTAATTCTTCAGCACTCAGCCTTTTTAATTGTCCAGCTCTCATATCCATACATGACTACTGGAAAAACCATAGTTCTGACTATATGGACCTTTGTAAGCAAAGTAATATCTCTGCTTTTTAATACGCTGTCCAGGTTTGTCATTGCTTTTCTTCCAAGGAGCAAGCGTCTTTTAATTTCATGGCTACAGTCACCATTCACAGTGATTTTGGAGTTCAACAAAATAAACTCTGTCACTGTTTCCATTGTTTCCCCATCTGTTTGTCATGAAGGGATGGGACCGGATGCTACGATCTTCGTATTTTGAATGTTGAGTTTTAAGCCAGCTTTTTCACTCTCCTCTTTCACCTTCATCAAGAGACTCTTTAGTTCCTCTTCACTTTTCTGCCATTTGCGTGGTGTCATCTGTATATCTGAGGTTGTTAATATTTCTCCCAGCACTCCTGGTTCCAGCTTGCGCTTCATCGGGGAGGGCATGTCGTATGATGTACTCTGCATAGAAGTTAAATAAGCAGGGTGACAATATTCAACCTAGACGTACTCCTTTCCCAATTGTGAAGCAGTCTGTTGTTCCATGTCCAGTTCTAACTATTGCTTCTTGACCTGCATTAGAGTCTATCTTTGATAAAAGAAAAGGGGGATACTAAATTTCCCTTCTTGTAACTCTGGTGTCTCTCAATCTTTAGATGTCAGGTCTTAAAATTCAGAAAGTTCTTTAAAGTTATTCAATATTTTGAGGAAAGCTTCTGGATTCTGAAGATTTTAGGAAGTCTTGTATCTGTTCACTCAGGGTAACATTTTTAATGTCACCCTTTGTTGAGGTGGAAGCCAGTGGTTTCCGTGAACTTTTTAGTGGCAGTAAATCTCTGGTACTAGTCTCTAGTGGAGGAGGGCACGGTAATCTACTCCAGTGTTCTTGCCTGGAGAATCCCATGGACAGAGGAGCCTGGCGGGCTACAAGCCACAGGGTTGCAAAGGGTCAGACGTGACTGAGTGACTGAGCAATGGTCTGTAGACAGGCAGGCACAAGACTGATAAGTCTCATTATTATTAATATTTCTTTTGCCCCCCAACAAAAGCCTGGTGCAGTGGGATGGAACTACTGAGGAAAAAATGAGGTTAAATTCAGAATTTTGCTTAAAGTGAAGAAGGGCTCTGAGATTCCATGTGTCCTTCACTGTCCATTGAAACTGAAGTGAATCTTTCTCAAAGTACATCAGCAACAAGTTAACATGTACCTTCAATATTTCATATCCCCTTGAAAACTGCACCTCTTTTTGGGCAAAGTGATTATTTGATTTGATGAAGAGCCATGTTCAAGGTAAAACAAAGACTTTAATGAGCCAGAGCCCAGTCATGGAAAGAATACTGAACCAAAAGTCAGAAGATCAGAGTTTTGACCGTCTCAATTCTGTCATCTGCAGCCTTTGGCTAGGTGTCAGTTCCTCCTTTGTAAGATAAGGGGGATAACACTTCTGATCTCTTGTTGGGTGCTGGGTGGCAGGCTCAAAGATGAGGCTGACTGTTAAAGAAATTTGAAAAGCTTTTGAGTTCTGTAAAAATGTGTAGTATATAAACTGACTAGATATATGTGTGTTGTGTATATAACCATCATTGCTTCAAAATATGACCCTGAGGCTTTGCCACATTGTTGGGGAAAAAAAGAGAATGAATTCTGTTGATTGGACTGTATTTGTGGCACAAAATGATCCTGAATATTTTAGGAAGATTTTCAGCAATAAGAACTGAAACAGAAGCTTTCTTTTTTTTAACCTAACAGTTTGCTAATTACAAAGTTCCTCGAAGGCAAAGTCCATGTCTTATCTGTCATTTTTGTGCCTGTCAGCATCCAGCATGAAAGTTTAGGATAACTGTTAATCATTCAGGTTTTTTCCCAACTGAAATTGAGGCTTTAGATCCAGAAAACTAGTTCTAGCTGTGTTATCTCTCTGAATTTCAGTTTCCTGGTTTCTTGTAAAAGAGAGGAATATGTAATTTGGGTAAAAACACCAGTCAGATGCTTGATGCCAGCCAGGCACCAGGCAGAACTTGGTTCTCTGTCTCATTTCCTGAGTGTTGTGGCTGGAGGTTTTCCTGACTGGCTAGAGGTATTCTCCTCAGTCAGTGAAGAGGGACCCTCCTCTTTGTCTAGGTACCTGTTTTACATGGAGTGTGTAAGATGTAGCTGGAGGCTCGGTCTAGAGAGTTCAGATGCCTGCCATTTATACTTGGGCCTCTGAGCAGGCCTTAACCTCAGAGTGAGAGGATGAATGGGGTATTAGTGAACTTGAGAGCAGGAGGAGCTCATCAGATGCCCACAGGGGCTAGTCAGTGATATGCTTGAGTCAAGCAGATGGGGTTTTTGGACAGTAGGGGTTTGGGGAGGCTGAGGTGGAGCTAGAGGCCATGTATGTATATGACCCTATCTAATATGGCCCCGGGATTTTCAGAAGCTGGAAATCAGAATTTCTGTATGAATCCTTTTCATTTTAAGATGTTGACAGTTAATTTCTTTTTTTTTTAAATTGTAAAACAAATGTACCACATGGATGTAGAACTCAGTAGTGGGCCCTTTGTGGCCCATGGGCCAGCAGGTAGCAATCCCTGCTTTCAAACAGGAGGGACAGTGATACAGCTAATACAGAAGGAAAGGACTTGCCCTCCTGACCAGCTGTGGAGACACTATAGTAGAATTGCCTTCCTGCTCTGTCTGAGTGCCACTTGCTTTGTCACATGCTACCTGCTATTTTGTCCGTCAGCTTTGCACCAGCCCTTGCTGAAGATGATGGCATACTTCTCGGTGCATTTATTCTATGGCAGAAGACGCCAGTGATGAGGGATTGCCAGGATACCTCAAGGGAGAACTGTTTTTCCTTGTAAGTGTCCAGGGGTGAAAGAGTGGCAGGTTAACCCAGTTTCCTGAGCTGCTACCACTGGCCAGACCCCACAGGCCTGCATGCACTGGGACATCAACAAGTAGCCTTTAATAAAACTTTGGTCTATGTTGCAACTTCCGATCTTTGCTCTGGGATTTTCCTACCAGGATCAAGTGGCTTTTTCTGAGTTTGTTATTCAGGTTCCTAATAGCAACACAGGAAATGGGTTTTAATTTCTTTGCTGGCTGCTCTGTTTGGGGGCTGTTTAATGAGGCTCCAGTTGCAGTGTAGCTTTGATTGTAGCAGGACTGGTGTGGATAGCAGCATACCTGACGTTTCTCCTTTTAAAAAATTATGATCTGTTTGTATTTTTTTATGAAATGAGGCAGGAGAGCATAAGTAATTTTATGTGCTATGATTCTAAGTGGGAACTCTTGAGGGTAACTGTTGTGATGTGTTTAAGATTATAGAAAGAGATAGACTCTTCCACTTTTAGAGGTAAATAAGTGTCTATGCTGTATGTTTGTTATAAATTTAGGGCAGTGGTTGTTGAATTTAATATACGTGAGCATAACCAGGGGAGTGTGCTTTTTTAAAACTTTTCATTGTGTAGTATAATGTAGCTGATTAACAATGTTGTGAGTTTCAGGTAGACAGCAAAGCTGTACATATACATGTGTACACTCAGGGAACTGTATTTTAAAAGGCAAATCTTCAGTCTCTACCTCCAGAGGTTCTCAGTCTACATTCTTAACAAACAACCCAAGGCATTTGGGGCCTATGGACCATACTTTGGGAAATGCATCTCTGTTTTGTTTCCTTTGTTGTATAAATGTGTCATGGCCACTTGAGGGCAGATTGACTTACTTGTGAGATGCCTTGGTTTATTCTGATTCACTGTGTTGTGGTACCTCAGATTCTTGGAGAGAGTCAGTCTCTGAGAGTCCTAGAGAGAATTGTTCAGGAGACCCTCACAGTTTGACATACAGGGACCAAGTCCCTTCTGCAACAGGGGTCCAGGAACTTCCTTCAGCAGCGCACACGGCCGCCAAATCTTGAAGCAGCTCCCCACATTGGTTGTAGGCTTTTTCCAAGTGTGTCACTAGCTCCAGGGTTTAGCTTTACGCTTTAAAGTACTTTACAACCAGTGTATGGGAGACTGGGTGCTCCTGAGCCAGGCAGCTGGAGCTTTGGGTCCTTAAGGGGTAAAGCACACTATCAAATCTGAGGGGTGAGGCTGAATCTTACCAGATTAGATTTATTGGCTTGATTAGAGAAGCATGCCCAGGCTATTTGTCCTTCCGGAAAATGACTGAGCTCAACAAAATAGCATAAAAATCCATTCCTAGTACCCTAGTGCATACAAAGCAGAGTCTTGGTTCACATCTTAGCAGGGGCTTGCCCCTTATTAGAAAGGAAGAAACCGTAGCTAGCAAAGCTTAAAGGAGTAATTGTTATGTGTAGTATACCTTGGGAAGAATATAAAAGGAGAATGTGACAGTCCCTACCATCAAAGGGAGATTAGAGTAACATGTGGGAAACAATGGGCCAGGACTCCCATAGAATCATCCCTCTGCTTCAGTTTACTTTCCTTCATCCCCAACTCTTCTGTAATGTCCTCCAACCCTTGGGGACTTCCCTGGTGGTCCATTGATTTAGACTTTGCTTCCAGTGCAGGGGGCATGGGTTCCATTTCTGGTTGGGGAACTAAACTAAGATCTTGCGTGCTGCACAGAGCAGCTGGGAAAAAAAAAAAAACACCTGTACCTTTGAGCAGTTCTTCTTGTTTCCTTCAGCTCTTCAAACAGCCTTAAAACTATTAGTAGGAGAAAAGTGATTTTAACTTCCTTATGATAAAAATAAAGGTAAATTCACAAAACTTTATAAGGAGTGTATTTATATTTTATGACCACTTGCAAAGGAAATGAAAGTGTTTCGGTTTTAGAATTTAAAGATTCTGTCTTGGCATGCAAGTGTGTTCAGTCAGTTCAACTCTTTGTGACCCCGTGGACTGTGGGAACATGTGGGAAACATGTAGCCTACCAGTGTCCATCCATGGAATTCTCCAGGCAAGAATACTGGAGTGGGTTGCCATGCCCTCCAAGAGTCTGTCTAGGATAGAACAAAAATAGCTGATTCTGAGTTAAAGGTGCTTGTCTGTTGTACAAGGCATATGAGGTCTGGCCTCATTCTGAATTCTCAGTACTTCCTTTCACACTACTGTTCTTAGATTCACTGTGCTCAACCATGCTAGCCTTCTGTCTTTTCCTAGAGCACACCAGTTTCATTCTTGCATTGGTGTCTTGGCATGTACTTGACATTCTCTCTGCCTAGAACACATTTCCCACAGATCTGCTTAAGCTGGCTCCTTCTCATCCTTCAGGGCTCAACTCAGACATCACCTTCTTAAGGAGGCCTTTCCTGACTGCCCCATCTAAAGCCGTTTGTTCTATTATCCTGTTTTAATATCTTTATGAGGCTTATTAGTACTTTAAATTCTAATTTCACTTGTTAATTTTCAGTCTTCCCTTACTGGAATATATTTAAGAGCTTTTTTGTCTTGGTTGTTCTCTAGTTTCAAACAATATGCCCAGATGTGAGTTTAATTATCTGAAAATTCCATCTTTAATCAGTTGTCTCTTTAAATATTGACTCCATTTTCCTCTTTCCTTCTTTAGCGTCTTTTTTCTTATTTTCCATTTTTGTGTTTTCTCTTAATTGGTAGAAGCTGGTTGCTGGTAATTTTCTCAGATCTGCTTTTCAGTTTACTGATTCTCTCTTTAACATGGTCTAATCTCTGTGTAAACCACCTGTTGAATTTTTAATTTTAATCTCTGTGTAAACCACCTGTTGAATTTTTAATTTTAATAACTATTTTTCTACAAGTTGTATTTTTTTCCTGAAATCCATTTGGTCATTGTTTCTTTTTTAGTATGTTCTTTTCTCATGTTTTTCATTTTTTCTTTTTGGCTTTAATCATTTGAAACATGTATATGTATTACAGTTTATCTGATCATTCTATTAAGGTATTTTTGGAGAGTCTTACCCTGCTATTAATTGAATTTCCCACATCTTGTTTGTGTTTTTACATAGTTTTTATATTTTGCTTGAGCTCATCTTCAGCAGAGAGCTTTATTCGTGGGCATCTTTCATGCTGTGATTGAGAGTAGGTCTCTTTAGAATTTTACATTTCTTCTGCCAGATATCTCATTCTGGGGCTACTTTTTGTGTTGAACTTTTGGCCTGGGGATTCTCAGACTATGTAGTTCAGTTGAGTTCAGTCCCTCAGTCGTGTCCGACTTCTTTTTGTGACCCCATGGAGTGCAGCACTCCAGGCTTCCCTGTCCTTCACCAGCTCCTGGAGTTCGCTTAAACTTAACGTCTATTGCATCGGTGATGCCATCCAACCATCTCATCCTCCGTCGTCCCCTTCTCCCGCCTTTAGTCTTTTCCAGCATCAGGTTCTCTTCCAGTGAGTTGGTTCTTCGCATCAGGTGGCCAAGGATTGGAGTTTCAGCTTCAGCATCAGTCCTTCCAGTGAATATTAAGGACTGATTTCCTTTAGGATTGACTGGTTGGATCTCCTTGCAATTCAAGGGACTCTCAAAAGAGTTTTCTCCAACACCACAGTTCAAAAGCATCAATTTTTGGCACTCAACTCTCAATAGTTCAGATCTCAATAGCCTGTGGAAAGGCTAGTAGTTACAAATTATTAGAAAAGATACTTTTTCCCTCTCAATTCAGACCTTTCTTATTGTTGCTGTGTGCCAGTGGGCTCTTTTTTCTAGTCTGCTTTCTCTCTTTGAGGGTCTTCACCTTACATTGGAACTCAGTTCCAATTCCCTGTTTTAGGTGGACTCAAGAAAATAAAACAGCTCCTTTCCACAGCAACTGGAAAGGCCTGATCTCATTTATCACTGTAGTTTGTAGTTCCCCACCCCCAACATTTTTGGCCCTGGGGTTCTTCCTTGCTTTCAGCTATATAATTAAAAGAATATTATTATATTTTTAAAGTTACCTACTCGGCTATATCATCAGAAGCAGGATCTTTCCCCCTAGAGTCTCTTGCTCAGTGCAGTAGCTGTAGCATCTAACACAATGCCTGGCTTGTGGAGAAAGTGATATCAATACATATTTGTTATTCAGTTTTAGAAATGGGTGTTTCCGTTGGGAAACCATTCCTCTACCCTGTAGAGAAGGCCAGAGATGGTGCTCCAAATTCACTCGTATCCAACAGCCAAGAGAGGCAGCGTTTGTGATTTAGCTACCTGTGAAGGATATCAGTTTTCCTGTTTTTCACTGCTAAAACATTAGTGCTTTCCTAAGGGCATGAAGATGATGTTGCCAGTTGCTAGCAGGGTTTTCCAGCCCCATAAATTGACAAATTAAAACCATCCCTGGGGAACTATTATTGCCCAGTGTCTCTTTTTATGCTGGCATTTTGAAAGTTCTTACACTGATTAAATTGACCTTTACAGTGGCTCAGCTAAGAATAGCAACTCAAAGACATGGAAACTCTTAAGGAAAATGATGTTAGTCCCATAGTTTATGCTGCCGCCAAAGAGATGAGATAATTTATTGCATATGTGCAAAGGCGTACTATTCATCCTTTTCCATTGTAAAAAATGTTCTTTCCAGTTCAGTGTTGGTCTTGCTTACTGGGTTCTTCCTGCCTGTGCTTTTTGTTTGGTGACCATATATGCCCTGTTTCTTAGAGCAGCTGGTCACTGTGCTACCAGAAGTCACACCTATAACAAATGAGAATTTTGAGGGTCATCACCACAGTTATTCTGAGGTGAAAGACCTCAGCATAAGATCATGTGCTATTCACTCAAATTTCCTTTTTAACAAGTCTGCATTTTTTGTATTTTGGGGCCAGGAGTTTGTGCAAATGGACCACTGCTGAGAAGTATCTTTAAAATGCAAATCTCATCTTATCCCCACTTTCCTAACTCCCTACCTACTTTTTCAACCATCTCCTAGCTAAAGGACTTTCCTTGTACTGTTTCCTTTGTTCTTCCCACCCCTCTTCCTTGGTTACTAACTTTTTAACCATCCTGGCAATCTCAGTTCAGGCTTACCTTTCTCACAGCTGTCTGGACCTCCTTAGCTAGTTTCTAGTTCTTATCTGTTGTAAACTCTTACCAAATGAGGTGTTTTTCCTTCCTACTTGCAGTTTTATCTGTATGATTACTTTATCATCTTTCATTAGACTTTAAGCTTCATGAGGGTAAAGACCATGAGTGTTCTGGCCTTATTTATTTATTTATTTATTTTTAAGCTTGTTTTATTTTTTTAACATTTTGTTCATTTATTTTGGGCTGTGCTGGGTCTTCATTGCTGCATGCAGGCTTTCTCTAGTTGTAGCAAGTGGGGGCTGCTCTCTAGGGGTACACAGATTTCTCATTGCAGTGGCTTCTCTTGTTTCAGAGCACGGGCTCTAGGGTGCTCAGAGTTTAGTAGCTGCAGCAGGCAGGCTCAGCAGCTGTGGCTCACAGGCTCTAGAGTGTAGACTCAGTAGTTGTAGTGCATGGGCTCAGTTTCCCACAGCATGTGAAATCTTCAGACCAAGGGTTGAACCCGTGTCCCCTGCCTTGGGAGGTGGATTCTTAACCGCTTGTCCGCCAGGGAAGTCCCACTTTTCACCTTTTATTTGCTCATTGTGTTCCCCACTGCTATCTCAGTGCTGGTGCAGGGTAGGTACTTAATAAATGTTGAAGGAATTGGGTGAAGGCCCCATGTTCTACAATAGGATGAAACACCATTTTACTTTTCAGAAAATTAGTGTGTGAAAATAATGACCTTTCAAGCAAAGAAGGGAGGAGCCCCAAGCATGTTGCCCCTCCTCACTGCCAAGTAGAAAATGTTCCCAGAGTCAAAGAGCTCCTTAAGGGCAGGGACCTTATCTTTTCCGTCAAAGACGAAATGTTGATTGTGTTTGGGGATTTTAGTGGATTTATTTAAGCATCTCAAGTATTAAAAACAAGTGAAGAAGTATAACTTAAACCAAGGATGTTCTAGTTTATTAGTTAAAAGCTCAGACTCTGGAGTCAGATGAATTAGCTAGCTGCGTGGCCTCAGGCAAGTTACTTAGCCTCTCTTGACTTCAGTTCTCTTTTACTACCCATTTCATCCTCTTGTAAGGAATTTAGAACAGTGCCTAGCACATAGCAGGTACTCAGTATTATTCATCCCAGCTCATTCTGCCTTCATAGAGGCTGCATAGCCATTGTTTCATTCACCAAAACTTTGTGTGCCCAGCACTGTGCCCATTCTTGAAGTAGGGGATGGGGATTAAGGAGACAGAGCTCTCGCCCATAGGAAGGGCACAGTTTATTCTCTCATTCACTCTTGAGGAGGGGAGGGGAGGGGTGGGATATTAACTTCCCACTCGAGACTTAGCCTAAATAATGTAATTTGTGTATAGTCCTTGGAGATGCTTGGAAGAAAAGCAAAGGATACGCATGAAGAGTGCTGAGAATTTTTCATATTTGAACTTTCCATTGCATTCTCTCCAGTTCCTTTTTCTATTCTTTATGTGTCTGGAGCAGCCCACATTGCCAGTGAGCTTTACTGTTCTGAGAAATAGTTCTACGTGAATGCACAGTGCTCTTTATTGAATGGTCTCTCATTGAATGCAAAGTGCTCCTTATTGAATGGTCTTTCATGCCCAGCAGTAATGACTCAGAGAATAACATTGGTGTTAAGAGCTCAGAGAAGTTTAGTTACTACTGAAGTTACCACAGTTAATAAGCATAGTGTGAGAGCCAAACTTTGAACCCACATCTGGCTGAATCTTAACCATTTGGATCTTGAGCTGCCTGGAGATCCCTGAAAGTCCTCTGGGTGACTTCCTCCTACAGGGAAGGGTAGAAGAGCACCAAGCAACATTTGCACACCTCTGTTCTTTGCTTTGACTGAGAGGAGACATAGGTTACAGGAACTTTTGCATTGGCTGCTGCCAAAAGGATTGGGAGGTGGGTAGGGTGGTAGACTCTTCAAGTTGAAGGAGACATGAGTGAGCATCTTAACTAGCTCTTGGGCCACTGAGTTACTTGCCCAGAGTCCTGTTCCTCAGTAGTGGCAGAGCTAGGACCAAACCGAAGACTTCTGGATTTTCTTCTCCTACCTTTCTCTGGAGGAGCTCATCATGCTCACATCTCACTAACCTCTTAATCCATCATTTCTTCCATGTAAAGGTCCATGAGTCCATGTCTCTTCTTTAACTGCCCACCTACTTTCCTTCCTCCTGTAGCAGAAAATGACAGTTCCCATAACCAAGACCATCCCGGACAACTTGGGGACTTTGTTTGGGGAGAGGAAAACAGGGGATGAGATATCCTGGGTAAAAAGTATTTGGGAAACTGAGTTAAATGATGCTGCCACAGTCTGCTGTCCTTGGGAAAGTGGAAGGAGAGCAGGAAACAGAGCAGGGTTCTGTTTATATCAGGCTTCCTGTCTTGGTGGATGGGAAAACCAAGAGAAAAGCTGACACCAGTAGGTGTCACCATTAGCTGACGCCAGTGATGCCAGTTGTTTAGATTTCAAACACATTCCATTTCATGCCTCACAGAGGACCAGTTGACTACTCTGTGTTCCAAGCCTGGACCTCATCTGATAAATTTTTTTGAGGCAGAAGTGTCACTGGATTCTTTCATGTGTCGAGGTGTAGGCAACACAGTTTTTTTTTTTTTTTTTCGAAAAAACTATGTGGACAGTTTGAACTGTGCTCTTGTGAACCGGGCCAGAATGGTATTTCAGGGTCTGGTAAACTTGGGAGAAACTTTCATGTCCTTAGGAAAGCAGTGTTTTGCTCTGAAGTCAGAGGAGGTGTGTGCTAGCAAAAGCATCGAGCACAGATCTGCTTTCTCCACATGCATCAGGCCCCAGAAGAGATATCCTAGTGGACAGCCACCTTCTAGGTGTGCCATTTTACTCATGGTGGACATTTGGAGGCAGCAGTAGAGTTCTGTGTGCAGCACTGTTGCGGGACTGTCTTGTCAGAATCAACAAATGTCTTGCCTATGTTTCCTTTTTCCTAAACCCCTTTCCATCAGGGTGTAAGACTCTTAAAGACCAGGAAACACCTGAGGATGTGGTGGAAACACGCTCTGAGCTAGGGATCTGAGTTTTAGCTCTGCCCTTTCTTTTGTCTTCGCCTTGTGGCTTCAGGTCTCCAGCCTCTAGCCCTGTAGACAGTCTCTGGATTGCTTTGTTTATACCCTTGGCCAAGTAGACAGCGTAGTAGAGCAGGGCCCAGAGAACAGGAACCAACTATGTGGCTTGAGTTTCCACTGGCAGGCGTCCGCCCGGATGTACACTGTGGGCAGGGTCAGCCTGAGTAGCAGCAAATACAATACTGTGGTTTTAGTTTCTTTGCTGAGCAGGGTTTTTTCCCTTCCTAACTGTGCTTCTTGAGGTTAGGGACAATGTCTTATTCATCTTCATGTCTCTTATACCCAGCCCAGTGTTCAGCACAGAGACGGTGTCTAGTCAATGAGTGTGTTGCTTCTTTAGGATAAAGAAATGTTGAAAGCCACATCTTAATAGGTCTCATGCACTGTGGCCCAGAGGACATTGGAGGCTGAAGTTTATTTAAGTTATTATAAACTTATTCATAAATAAGTTATAAGGCTTAGTTGTAAACTTACTGAAGTTTATTTAAGTTTCATATCTTAACTGTGAAATATAAAAGAAACCTTTCTACCTCTATTCCCATCCACCAGTGCTGTGAATAGAATTTGGCAAAATGCTAGATGGTTACTCAGCAGTGCCCTTTCTATAGCTGTCCCTGAGAAGGGACAGTGTAAATTCTAGATCCAGTCACGATTATTAAGAGATCATCTGATAAGCAAAAAAAGATGAAGCAAATTGAAACTGCATTAGGTCACCTAAGCAAGTCACTCTTTTTCTTAAGACTGAAGAATTTTAGTAGCAGGTTTTTTAGCCTTCTTCTGAATCACGCTGTAATTAACCTTGGAGATCATGTGTTTTAAAGGGAGGATGGACTGGCTGACCAGATGCTAATCCTAGAATACATACTGCCTTACTTATTCCAGGAACTTTCACAAAGAAGCTGGTTTTATTTAAAATGTACAGCCAGTTACAGGAGAATCATGACCGTCTTACGGGCTAAATTAGCATCAGAACATGGAGTGCTTTGGCTTGGACATAAATCAAGGAGGACTCTGCTCTGTTTTTCTCTCTGAGAACTCTGCTCTTACTACTTGGCTTTGTGTAGTGAATCTTCTTCCCTCTTTAATAAACCATATTATTTTTCTTAAATCTTCTGTTGTTGTGTGGTTCTTTTTTTTTCTCAATGGAGTAAATATTGGTACAGACTGTTTAGTGGAGGATGGATAGGCGACCAGAAAGAGGGGGATAAGAAGAAAGTGTTAAGTTGCTCAGTCATGTCCGACTCTTTGTGACCCCATGGACTGTAGCCTGCCAGGTTCCTCTGTGTGTGGAATTCTCCAGGCAAAAATACTGAAGTGGTTTGCCATTCCCTTCTCCAAGGAGTCTTCCTGACCTAGGGATTGAACCTGGGTCTCCTGCATTATAGGCAGATTCTTTACCAACTGAGCCACCAGGGAAGCCCTATGAGAAGAAAAGTGGTATTTAAAAGCTATAATTTAATGTGCTAAAAGTTTTTTAAATTTCTTTTAGGATAAGGAAACCTGCGTGGGTACCAACAATCAAAGCTACATCTGTGACACAGGACACTGCTGTGGACAGTCTCAGTGCTGCAACTACTACTATGAACTCTGGTGTAAGTCCTTGCCTGGGGGTTTCTTGGTGTCCAAGCGTCTAAGTTCACCACCTCTGCTCACTGGGAAACTGAAAGCTGGTCAGCCTTGTTGCTACTCTGTCGGTGGCACTGTTGACGAGCAGACTCTGCTAGATTTTGGAAGCAATCCCTCTGTAGAGGAGGAGCGCTCTGGTGCTCTTTGGACACCGTGAACTAAAGACTGGAAAATATGGTCTGAGCCCTCCTAGGAGGCCATGGTTAGCAGACCTGCTGCAGAAGCTTCTGAGTGGGATTCTCTTGGATGCCCTCTCCAGGGTGTGCCAAGCAGTGGCAACAACCTATGCCCTCTCACGGGTCAGCCCAGCTGCCCAGACTCCCCATCTTTGCAAAGAGAGGTTTGCAGCAGCCAAGCTGCTGTGGATGCCAGGCTGCTCTCTGGATAGCTGTATTGCCGTATTCTTGTTAAAAAAAAAAAAAAAAACTACCAGGACTTCCCAGATCGCCATAGATCCTCAAGGAGCTGCCTCTGTTTCTGAGGGTCCCTTCTTAGTGGGATAATCTTTCCTTGGGTTGTGGCCAACAGAGCCCTCCTGGAGAGAAGGAATAGAGGTTCAGCTCCCTTTGTTCCTTCCCCAGATCGCAAAGTGAAGTGTCTGGAAGCCTGTCAGTCCACCTAACCTGTTACTGTCAGCTCAAAGCCATTTTAAGTTGTCAGCTCCACCACCTTGTCACTGGCTCGGTGGGGGCAGGACCACTTGCACCTTCCTGAGCTGTAGAAGGATGGGGACATTGCCCTGGGCTTCAGGGAGTGACCTTCACTTAGAGAGTTCACTGAAGCACTTTGTACTCTGATCTTCCTGAAACTCAGATGAGACACTGGGGATACTGGACACAGAAGGGGAGGGGAGAATGGGAGAGTCCTGAGGGCAGAGCGTTCCAGGTGACCAGCACTACAGTGGTTCTCAAGCTGTCTGTTGATAGAGGAGGCAGTAGATTGTTTTCCCAGAGAATTATAAGCCCCATCACTTCCTCCATGTGGAGACAACCTTTGCCGCTTGCTTCACATCCTTGCTGTCACCTCCACATCTGCCCTTTTCCCCCTTCTCCTTTCTGTTCTCCCCATTCATCCCACATCAGGTATATGTCAGAAAGCAGCTAGAAAGGCTGTTGTTTAAAATGGAAAGGAAATTAGACTCTTAGCTGGGAAGCTTCTCCCTCTGAATGCAAACGCATCTTATAGTCAGTGGGAGTGGTTCCTACAAAGACCTCACCCTCATACTTCCCTTTTGATGACTGGCTCTTCTGCCTCTCTGAGGAATTTCAGGGGTGATTAAGGGCAGACTCTTTCCCAAGGAGAGAACAGGGTTCAAAATGTCCCCATCAGTCCTCCAAGTACATAAGCAGCAGCAGCACAGGCAGGCCTGGAGTTGTTGGTGCTATTTTAGACGGGGTGGGGCTGAGGGACTCACTGGAGAAACACAAAGTGCCAGGCAGGTGGACAGACTGTTTAAATGTTTTAAAATGCAGATAACCACAGGGTTCAAATTCTCCCTCTCACCCCTTATTAAAACAAAAGTCAAAGCTGGGCTGCCAAGAAGCCACAGAGCTGCGGTTTGTTTTTCTGGGGCCCGGCCCAGGCGGCGTCAGTTGCGGAAAGGATGGAGTTGCTGATGGCCCCCATCTCAGATTGACAGAGCCTCCTGAGGCACTGGCAGAACAGACTCAGTAGCCACCAGAGTTGGGTCATGAATGCCAAGGCTGGAGGTGGGGTGATGGGGACAGGGAGATGCGAGACATAGGTGTCAGGGAGGCAGGTGTTCTGGGAACCGGGCACTTCACCCCACGGGCCTAAGAAAGCCAGGGGAAGAGCTGCACAGTGGCTAATCACTCCTCCGGTCGTGGTCAGCTGGGGAAAGGAGGAGACCAGACAGAGACTAGTCTGGCCGGGGAGGAAAGACTCACCCCCGTACAAGATGGCCCGTGCTTGCCAAGTTCTCAAGAGACTAAAAGCCTGACTTCCTCTTTGTGCCCATCAATGGCTTTTTGGTCAGAAGATGCCCAGTGAGCGTTGCACCTCTCTCCGGAATTCTTTGGTTTTTGTCCTTCTTGAGGGCCTGGTCTTGGCCTGGTGTGGAGAGGAGGGAGGTCAAGTGTAGGAATGAGCCCTTTCAGTTCTCATCGGAACTGTTCTGGTCACTTTGAACCCTGTTCTCTCTAATTGCCTCTGAACTCTGCCTGAGTTGTGATAATAATGGGCTTTGGGTTATTCTTTTAGTCTTTTTCCTTTGGAAGGAAAAGATCTCAGCCAGGAAACACTTGGCAGAGTTTTTGTCAGACAGAGTACCTTTTTAGCCATAGTTGCCTACTGGGAAGGCCTCAGGGAAAAACAAATGCCATTTCCGTCAACCTTTATACCACTGCTAAGCCAGATTATCCTGTGTGCTGAGCACTGGCATGCACACACATGCAGAGCACACTTTGCACAGACACACAAGCACATAGACACACACAGACCTAAAACTTCAACCAGCACTCTTTTCTCCCCTGTCTTTTTAATCTCTTGTAATGTAGGCCATTGTCATTAGTGGGTCTGCATCGGTTTAAGAGTGAAAGTCCTGTTTTACCACTGCCATGGTTGAGGCTTTAAGACCTGGCCTTATCATCCCATGCGTTTTTATGGCTCTTGTACTTTCAATCATCATTCAATCGTTTATTCAGCAAACTCTTATTCAGTGGTTTCAGACTTTGGCAAGTGTCTGCGTTTCCTGGAGGACTTATTAAAGTGTGGATTTCTGGGCCCAAGTCCCAGAGTTTTTGATTCAGTAGGTCTGAGAAAGACCTGAGAATTTGCAATTCTAACCCAGTTTCTACTGGATGAGGTGGCCTCTTCTGTGTTAAAGCATGTGGGGAGACAGAATCCTTGTCATCAAGAAGGGCTCTAAGCAGAGAGAGGAGATAATACAACGTGCCTCACTAGTAATGCAAAGTAGAAAGGGGAGTGTGTGTGCCAGGACCACTGTGTATGTGCTAGGAGAATTTGCTTTTGCTGGACAGGATTCAGGCAGGCTGCATGGAGGTGGTGGCATTTGAGGTAGGCCTTAAAGAAAGGGTGGATAGGATTTAAACACATGGAGAAGGATAGGATGACTTCTCAGGCAGAGGAACGCCAGACACCATAGGTCAAGGCTCCATGGGAAAGAGGAGAATATGCATCACATTAACCTTTTCCCTGGGATCGTGCGGTTCACTCAGGGGAGACAAGGGTACTGGTGTGCATAAAACTCTGCCGTGGGCTGGGCACCTAGTAAAGTCTGCACACACGTCAGTTCAACCTGCTCTAAGGACAACCCTGCCAGATATGCCTAGACCATTTCTCAGGACCTGGGGTGTTCAGTCACCAGTCAGTCAGTTGCAGTTGAGTCGTGGGGTCAGTGTGCCTTACACAAAGCCACCCCCTTCCAGAATTCTTAAGTGCCAGGCCAGAAGGTGGTGGGCCCAGGTCGTGGAGGGTCTCAAATGTGCAGGTTTGAGAACTCTGCATGTGGACATTAACTCAGTTATCCTCACAATGACCAAGTAGGTAGAAACTGTTATTCTCCCCATTTTACAGATAAGGGAAGTCAAGGCAAAATGACCAGGGTCACAAAGCTAGGATATGAAACTTGTCCAGTCTTTCTGATGAAGTTGCAAGTCCTCTGAAGTCTTCATTTCCCAAATTCAGGCCTTTTCCACAGTGGAAAAGGATCTCCTGCTAAGAGCTGTCAAGGGCTAAGGAGGATACCCACCATCCTGTGGTGTAGGAGGAGAGCTAGTGGACAGTATACTTTGGCTTCCTAATGAGGAATTTCCTGCCAGTTGGGGAGTGGTGTTTTCCCAAGTTTATAGTGAACTCTGGGGCACATGACTCAGTTCCTACATTGGACTGTGATTGTTTTTAAAAACATGTTTTCCATTTTGCTTAGCATGACAAGCATGCCCCACAATGAGGTCACAGCTTTCAAAGGTCACTGGAGAATGTAATCTGTGGGTAGATATGTGTTTGGGGAGGAGGGCATGCTTCTGTCTTTATGTGGCTCTTTCTTTAGGTTTTCCTTTTAAAAAACTTTCCTCCTTGTTTGTGAAAACTAGTGAAAAGATCAAAAGTTTGCACAACTCCATAGGGACTCGTCTAGATGGTATCCCTTTTAAAGCTGTGGAGACGTGGCTTTGACTACAATCCAGTAGGATCTGTTGTGTGAGGGTCATACAAGAATGCCTTCTGTCTTCCCACATTAACTCCATCAAGTGGGACCAGTCCTTAGGTGGCTTTTCTGGACCTATGCTAATGCCCCGTTATCCCACTTGGCCCTTTCTGCTCCCACATCAGTTTTCCCCTAGTTTTGATCCTTACTATTACTTTGTGATACTCTATTAGAAATGCAGAAATTGGAACTCAGTTTGAAACTTTATATAATATCATACAAATGGTACATAGTAGGGAGAGTTTTTCTACCCATGCTACCACGTGAAAAGAAGCAACTGATGGAATTTCAGTAAACATATGAGTTTTCTGGTGCTGTTAGATATGACTGCAGTAACCCTGCCAAAGGTATGCCTTCTACTTGTCTCATTTCTTCTCCCCAGTCTCCCACCCTGCCTCATTTTTCCTTTTTTTTTTTTAAAAAAAAGACCTCTTTTTCTATTATACTTCCAGTTCAGTGGAACTTAGGCTTTTTTTGGAACAAGGATTCTCTTAAGAATCTGAAGAACATTTGCAATCTCCTCCTCCAGAAAAGCCTATAAAGGATCAGTCTGGATAGGCTAGAGGTTATGCTCAGTAATAAACAAGTCCAAACTCCTGGAGGTCCTAAAGCAACAGGTTTATTGCTCACACTCTGTGTTCATATTAGGTTGGATGGGAGCTTTGTTCCTACTTCTTTATCCTCTGGGGCCGGACTGACCCTGAAGTCAGTCTAGAATGTTATGACTTGCTATAGCAGAAGGGAATCTAACAGAGGGTCTCACATTAGCAAGAAATGTTCTGGCCTCTTAGTGACATCTGTTGCTTCCAGTCTCAATTGGTTAGTTAGAAGTAGCCCCAAAATGTCACCTAATCATAAGGGGGCCAGAAATTCAAGCCTACCCACATGCCAGGAAGGGGGAGAACCAGAAATATTTGGCCAACATGAAAACCATGAAAAAAATCTCTGCTATAATGGCTAAGAAGTTTTGCCTTAGATCATATATAGTGCAGCACTAAGGTTTAAAGTTAATTTACCTGTAGGTAAGAAACAATTGGAAAAGTGACAGGAGGCAAAAAGTAGAGTTAGGTGCTGATTATCTCATGAGAGAATGTACTTTTAAAATTATGAAGTAACGCAGAAGCATAAAGGATTGTGATATGATGCTGGGCAAGTTAATATAGGTAATATAAAAAAGTGGTTAGCCCAGAATCTTTTAGACTTGACTCTAAAATATCCCCTGGTGGCTCAGAGGGTAAAGCGTCTGCCTGCAATGTGGGAGACCCGGGTTCAGTCCCTGGGTTGGGAAGATCCCCTGAAGAAGGAAATGGCAACTCACTCCAGTATTCTTGCCTGGAGAATGGAGGAGCCTGGTAGGCTATGGTCCACAGGGTCACAAAGAGTCAGACACGACTGAGCGACTTTCTTTTTTTCTTTTTCTAAAATGTTCTCAGAGACAGGCTCTTCAGCAGAGTGCATTTTGCTTGCTTATGCTGCCTGCCTTGGGTGTGACCTAACCCTAACCCTGCAAGGCTGAGAGCTGACCGGACCGTAGAGGCAGGAGATTACAGGGCAGCAGTGGGAACCACTTCACTCCCGGAGCTCCTTTCCGGCCTCAGAATCCTCCCTGAGGGCTCCACTAACAGTATCCAGTCAGCCAATATTGAAACGAGAGAAGTGTAAGTTAAATTAAGCAAATGTCTGCTGTGACTCTGGGGAGGACCACAGGGGAGACTTCGGACTTAAACTTATGTCTGTGTCCTCTGGTTAGGAATGAGGTTTTTTTGTCTGCCTGTGGGAAAAGGGGGAAAGATCCTCTTCTCATTGTCCTCCCCCTGTTCTGTCACCAGACCTCGGCAGAAGTTTCTGTTGAACTGTGACATGTGCTAAAAGCAGCAAGGTGTCACACAGTGGTGTTGGCACCCTGCCAGGGCTGGAAGGCAGTACTGCTGTCCTGTCTTACCCCGTAGTGGTGGCACTGTGGGTAGATTCAGAGAGGACACCCCTGGGGGACAGAAAGAAACACCCTTGGTGTTGCCAGAGGCCACACCCTAAATTTCAGTGGGCTCTTTCAAAATATTGTGTTCTGGTACAAACAGGAAAAAAAATCAGGGGTTTATTCATTTGTAATTGTTTACCAGGAGGCTTTTTTTTTTTTAATATTCATTCTGATAAGAGATATAGAAATACTTAACATTCTAAACACAAACTTATAGTTACAGAGCAGATGATTAAAAAAATATGTAACATTTGTAATGGAAAAAATTGAAGTTCCTCAGAAATAGGGAGCAAATGAAAAATAATATAATCTAGTCTCATATAATAAAAACGCACCTTAAAATTATTCCTCAGATTTATTTTAATTGAGAAAAAGTATTTTTTTTCCAAAGAAGTACATGTTCATCTTAGAAAATTCAGGAATTGCAGATAAGCAAAAAATAAGAACTGGTAACAGAAAATCCTATTGTCCAGGAATAATCTCATGATTAACTTCCTGATCATCCATCTGAATATTTATACTTTTTTTTAAGCAAAAGTTGGGGTCCTATTTTATGCTGTTTTGTAATTGCTTTTTTTCCCATTTAGTATTTGAAATGTCTTTTTATGTCAAAAATAGTATTCTGTGGATAATTTTTAATGATTCATATCATTTTCATTGTATGAAGACATTCCCAGAGGAATTTTTATTTTTATTTATTTATTTATTTAAAAAATTTTTAAACCTATTCTTCGGTATCATCAGAGAGTTCACAGTGGAGAAAAACCTTATGAGTACAGTGAATGTGGGAAATCTTTTACTGCTAACTCTAGCCTTCGGTATCACCAGAGAGTTCACAGTGGAGAAAAACCTTATGAGTGCAGTAAATGTGGGAAGTCTTTTACTGCTAGCTATGGCCTTCGGTATCATCAGAGAGTTCACCATTGAGAAAAACCTTATGAGTTCAGTGAATATGGGAAATCTTCTGCTAGCTCTGGCCTTCGGTATCATCAGAGTTCACAGTGGAGAAAGGATTTATGAGTGCAGTGAATGCAGGAAATCTTTTATTAATAAATCCAGTCGTTTTTTATCATCAGAGAATTCACACTGGAGAAATGAGTGCAGTGAATGTGGGAAATCTTAATAGTGGATCAGGTCTATTTGGTTATCAGAGAGTTCACACTGGAGAAGAGGCCTTATGAATGCAGCTAATGAGGAGAGCGGAGAAGGCAATGGCACCCCACTCCAGTCCTCTTGCCTGGAAAATCCCATGGACGGAGGAGCCTGGTGGGCTGCTGTCTATGGGGTCGCACAAAGTCGGACACAACTGAGCGACTTCACTTTCATTTTTCACTTTCATGCATTGGAGAAGGAAATGGCAACCCACTTCAGTATTCTTGCCTGGAGAATCCCAGGGACGGGGGAGCCTGGTAGGCTGCTGTCTATGGGGTCGCACAGAGTCCGACACGACTGAAGTGACTTAGCAGCAGCAGCAAACCTATTCAGAAATGTATTAATTTTTTTTAAGCCAGAAAAAAATAAAAATTAGTCACAGATATTTTTAAGTTTTAACTTACTTTGTTTCCAGTTTTATAATTTGAAAGAATAAAATAAAAATTGGGAGAAATTAAAATTTCTTCTCATAATCCCACAACTTAAAGATGTCACTATTTTTGTGTTTCTCTTTCCAATCTTTTTTCCCCTCTAATCTCTATTTATTTTTTAAAGCAAAATTGCTCATTTATTAAACAAATTAGAAGCCTTTTCTGTATACATGTGAAGATTGAAGAGGGGGTCTTATATTAGGGTTTGCCAGGATTTTCTAAATATGATCAAAGAGAACATCAGTGAGAAATGAGAAGAAACAGTCCACCTGGGGAAAAGAGCTGTGGACTTCTCCCCTGCTTCTCTACTCCTCTCTGGAGCCAGGAGGAAGAAGGGGAGACCACTGATGCTCCCCAGTCTAAGCCAGCTGCAGGCAGAGCGAGGGAGGTGGGGGAGTGGATTGTTTGTGACGATGTGAGATGGAATTGTACCAGCTCATGTCAAGAGCAGAGGAAGTTGTTTATACTCTCCAGGGAAATAATGGGCTGAGGCAATTAGAATTTTTCCACCTCTAACTTCCGTGACTTCTGTATGATGGAGGCAAAGTGGCAGAGGAAAAAACTTTTATCAGGTACGCCCTCCGGGGTCCTCTGCAACTGCAACAACTCTGCTGAGTTGTGGGGATTCTGAGGGGCTCTTCATTCTTGGTGGGGAGCCTGGGAGCCATCGTTTTGGGCCAGGGCTGGAGAGGGGAGATGGGCACCAAGAGGGGCTGAAGCATTTTCTCAGATCTCTTAAGAAAGGAAGGGTACATTTTCCTGAAAGGTAAGCATACTTAATGCCCACCAGACCTAAAATATAGGAGAACCTAGGGTGCTAGATCAACACCTCAGCACTCCTCCCCTCCCTCAAGAGCCTGGAGGCACCCCGGAGTGAGTAACCTCATTAAGGGTCACTTTTCTTAACATTCCTGCCCTCTTCCACCCCACATATCTTTCACTCTGGTACAAACATTTATGAAAATTGAATACAGGTTCTGAATGTAACTGCCAGGCAAGGCTCAACAGTACTAGCTAGCTTCAGCAAGGTGCACACCATCCCAGAGTCTCCCTGTGCTGCGAGCGGCCCCTCCAGCTGGTGTCCCACTGGCATTCATGGTGTGCCCGCCCCTCTCTGTCTCTCCTCCCCTCCCAGGGTTCTGGCTCGTGTGGACCATCATTATCATCCTGAGCTGCTGCTGCGTCTGCCACCACCGCCGAGCCAAGCACCGCCTTCAGGCCCAGCAGCGGCAGCATGAAATCAACCTGATTGCCTACCGGGAAGCCCACAATTACTCAGCGCTGCCATTTTATTTCAGTACGTACTCCAGAAGCCACCAAACCCACTCTCAGAGGGAGTGGAGGGGCGGGGGTGGGGGGCAGGGGGCGGCTAGGACACATAGACTGTGGGCCTCAGGGGTTGGCCTCTTTATGCCTAGAGCAGGGTCTCAGAAGTGGAAACAAGAGGGTGTGCACCTTGAGCACGGAGAAGCCAGGGCTGTGGATGTAGCCCCTGGGCCGTTCCATTCCACACTAGCTAGGTTCTCACTTCATCTCTGCTCCTTTAGATTTTTGTTCGGCGGGTTGTTGAATGGTGTATGTTGTGTATGAGTTGAGATTTTGATGTCAGTGGCCTTGAAATCTCCATTTTGCTTCCTGCCATGTGATATGCCTCAGCAGAGGCTGCCATAAAAAGGGCAGGAGTGGGAGGTGATATTGGGATTTCCTGAGAACCAAGAAACTCGGTGATTCACTGAAGGGCACACTCATCTGACTTCCCTGGAGTTCCTTCCATTGATCTCTCAAAGGATTGGTGGAGGCCCAGTGGTGCAGCCTGTCCAAAGGCATTCTGCAGTGTGTTTCACAGAATAAAATAGTTGTGAATTTGGGAATTCTTCATCTAGAAGAGTTAAGTGCTTAGCACAGTGGCCGGTGTATAGTAAGTGCTCAATAAATGCTAGCAGTCACTGTTATAATTAGGTCATCTGTGTCTCAAAGTAGATTACTCACCTGCCATATTCCTAATAAGCCTTGATGACAGGTCCCTCATCCTGTGTTGGTAAGCCACCTGCTCTTGGTCTGAAGCAGGATGGGGTTTGTGTCTTTCCAGCCATACTAGGGTGAGAGGCAACACAGATTTCCAGCCTCCCAGAGAAAGGCTCTCTTCATGATATACATCTGGAAAATGGGGGAAGTGGGTGCAAAGTGGGAGAAAGAAGTGTCAGGATGTTTTAAGTTAGGGCCCCTAACCCTGAGGCCTAGGGGATACAGATGGCAGACACAATCTGAGCCAGAAACACGAGACTTGGGTGCATGTGGAAACAGGTCCCTTCCAGACAAAACTCTCAGCCACTCACCACATTTGCTGAACCTCTGCCTTAACTCCAGATGAGCAGAAGTCCTTGCCTGTGAAGCAGCTTTAGGGGCTCTCAGATTTCAAGAAGCTAGCATAGGTTACTCTTAGTCTGTCCCTCTTTCTCTGTAAAGTCGCTCACAGCCCCTTGTCCTGCCTGCACCTGAGAGTCGTCGCTTGGTGGGTATTCTGGGAGTGGGATGTGTGAGCCTGCAGTCTGTCCTGTAACAATTGCCAGTGCAGTAATTTCTCCTCCCTACCTCCCTGTTTTAGGGTTTTTGCCAAACTATTTACTACCTCCTTATGAGGAAGTGGTGAACCGACCTCCAACTCCTCCCCCACCATACAGTGCCTTCCAGCTCCAGCAGCAGCAGCAGCAGCAGCTACCTGCACCGTGTGGCTCTGCAGGCAGCAGCCCCCCAGGCACCGACCCCACCAGGGGCTCCCAGGGGGCACAGAGCAGCCCCTTGTCTGGGCCCAGCAGAAGTAGCACGCGACCCCCAAGCATCACTGACCCTGAGCTCTCCGACGTGCCAGCAGACCCAGCAGCCACCAAAACCCCTGGCATGGAGCCCAGCGGCTCTGTGGCTGGCCTGGGGGAGGTGGACCCCACGGCCTTCCTGGACAAGGATTCCGAATGTAAGGAGGAGCTTCTGAAAGAGTACAGCTCCGAGCAGGGCAGTGCCCTCCCTGACAACAAAGACAAGACACCTGGCAGACACCGCCGCTTCACGGGTGACTCAGGCATCGAGGTGTGTGTGTGCAACCGGGGCCACCATGACGACGACCTCAAAGAATTCAACACGCTCATTGACGATGCTCTGGACGGGCCCCTGGACTTCTGCGACAGCTGCAACGTGCGGCCACCTGGCGACGAGGAGGAAGGTCTCTGCCAGCCCTCCGAGGAGCAGGCCCAGGAGCCCGGGCATCCACACCTGCCAAGGCCGCCTGCCTGCCTGCTGCTGAACACCATCAATGAGCAGGACTCCCCAAACTCCCAGAGCAGCAGCTCCCCCAGCTAGAGCAGGTCCTGCTACACCTGAGAACTTGGCGATGCAACCAGGGTTGGGGAGAACCATGTGAGAAGCATTAAGTAACTGTGTTCCTTCCCCCCCACCCCCTGCTCCTGCATTTTCCTGCATCTCCAGGTACAGTTTGGGGTGTGGGTGGCTTGCCCCCCGACAGAAGCACAGTGCTGTGGAGGGCTGAGAAGTTATCCTGTGACTCATTCCTCATACCCCACCCCATTCCCCTTTACCTCTTTTAAAGTCACATCTCACTACCTGCTTAGGTCAGAGAGATGTGTGTTCAGAAGCCCCCAAGGAGGGGATGAGACCGTGCCCTGAGGTGACTCTTGGTGATGGAATGGATGTGCTTTCCTGTGTTAGTTTATGAGAACCTCGCTGCATCTCTGTCCAGAAGAGGTGACTGGTCTCAGCCCTGGATGAAGAAGGAAGCTCACAGAAGCCCAGGGATTGTCGCCCCTTGCTACCAACATCTGTGGTGCCAGAATTGTGTTCTGCTGTGGTGGGAAGGAGAGTTGACTGGCAGTGTGGTGGGTTGGTAAGAGACTTGTGCTCTCAAATTCCAGGTGACGAGCTCACGGTGCCAGGGTGTACTAGAGGGGCCTTTCCTTTCCCAGCAGGGTCTGGCTGGCCTCAGGCTGGTTCCAGGCTGGAAAACTATATACCTGCCTTTGGTTTTGTTTTGTTTTTTTAAAGAAAAAACAACAACAAAAGCAAGCTGAAAACAAGAACTTGACCAGTGGGCAGGCAAGAATTCTGTTTTGGAAAAGGGAAGTTTGTGTCTTTTTCTCAACTTGGCCTTCAAAGAGCCTGGCTATAGTTGAGCCAGGAGATACATAATGTGCAGGCTTGGGTGGAGGCTGTCTCTGGAACTCCTGTGGGTGAGCAGGAGGCCCTGCAGTGTGGCAGCGGATGGAGGTGCAACTTCCCATTGTCTCTGCCCTTTGATCTGCGCCAACGAGTGACCAGTGCCCTCCTCCCGTCCCAGACACACATCTGCCGGCCTTCACGTCTCACTGTTCTCTACGAACAAATGAGGCTATGGGTCCTGAGAAAGGGCAGGCCCACAGTCTGGCTTTCACACAGTATTTTCTCTTGATTCTGAATAAGTTGTTTTGTTTATTTGTTTTTTCAAACTGACCACTTGGGAAAAAAATGCCTTGGTTATCTGTGGTTTTCATGCCCTTTGCCTGCTCTGCACCGCCCCTTGAGTGGGGTATCTAATTTTTGTAGCCTATGTAAAGAGTCTCAGTGGCCCAGATAGGAGGGTGGAGGCAGCCCTCCTGAAGGACCACAGGATCCTTAATTCCTGTAGTTTTGCTTCAGAAACCAGGTGAGCTTTGATAGGAATAATCTGAATGGAGAAAGCAAACTGCCGAAACTAACATTCCCTGCCCAGCCCTGTTCACATGAATAGCTTGGTTCTTCCCCCACTCTTGAATGATGATATTCAGAGTAGGCGTTGACGTTTTGGTTAAGAAAGGAAGGTATATATCTGTATATATATATATGAATACACACATATCCATGTGTATGTGTATATATATGTATATGTATATAAACACATACACACAAAATAGACAAATCTGAGGCTGTGAGGTGAACAAGTGTCTGCATTTGGAGTCCACAAAACCAAAATCCATGTTGAACAAGTGCAGTCTGTATACGATGACTTTTCCAGTAACCTGTGTGTGTCTGTCCATTGTGTGTGAGTCCCCAGCCCTGTTTTCCTGTGAATATACTTTGAACGGCAGCCACTCTGCTCACATTACCATGCATTCGGAGCAGGTGCAGCCCTCTCAAGGTAATTTATTTTACGCATTTACTGTTTACTGAGCAAATGTCTGACTGTGCACTCGGGTGTACTCAGCAGTGCTGTTGACGGCAGTCCCCACGTTTGCCAGAGATACTGTGCTCCGAGTAGAGGTTTTACTCTACCCCTCACTGCAATTTGCACATTGCTCCATGGACACGCGGAGGCCTGTGTCCTGTTCCCTGTAAGCGGAAAGTGCTCTGAACCTGTCCGCTTTCCCCGGCTGCTCCTAGCCCTCGGCATCGGCCCCCAGGGGGGTCCAAACCCCTTCAGGACAGAGGGCCAAGGTGGAACCTCAGACTGAAGCTTGACTGGATCTTCAGGGTCAAGCTCAGACTGCCTTTGGCCCAGGCATCGGCCCTACCCGGAATTGCCAGGAGGCTTTGACGGCCACCACAGTGCCATAGGGCTTACCTCCTTCTGCTGAGGTCCAGCACATGGCCGACGTGTGGCCAGAGCAGGCAGGAGTGTGCCTGCAGCCCCCCTCAGATGCCTTTCCTGACGCCTTTTTTTTTTTTTCATCCCAAACAACTCACTGAAGTGTCTCAAAGGCTGTCAAGTTTTACCAAAATGAACCCTGTTTGAATTAACTGGTCAAAGGGTGGATTCTGGCCCTCTGAAGATTCCTTCTCCAGTCAGAGTGGGGAACTGGTGTGCAGGTTTACTGCTGGGTTCACTGCAGTGTCTGACCCTAAAGGCACAAGAAGAAGAAAACGAAAATGCGGCGGGTGGAGCTGGACTCAAGTCCTGTGTCACCGCCTGGCCCCTGCTGCCTGAGGCTGCCCTGCACATGGACGCACGGGAGTAGGGAGCTGAAGGACCCTTGAGGGGCCCGGGAGATGGAGGGAGCCTGGTGTTCCAGGCAAGTGAGAAGAAAGGGATGGGTCAAGGGTTTGGTGCTACAGTCGGAAGATTTGCAATTGCTAACACATTCCTGTGTGAGGCACATCACCCTTTGTCAGTTATTGTGAATATGTGTATTTTAAGCAATAAGATTCAGCTGGTCAGACTTTTCTGGGCAGTCTCGGTGACGCATTTCCTGTGCTGTGATTGTTCTGAAGACAGAGTGGCTCTAACCACTGTGAGAAGCCCAAATAAAATCCATCCCCAAAACCTGATTACGCTTTTTCCTTGCAATATTTGTTCCTTTTTCCTCCTCCCCTTGAGATTCCTCACCTTCTCCACATAGAGGCCAAGAGACGTCACAGCCATCAGGACAGGCAGCTGGGCTGAGGGCAAGCTGGGTAATGGTTGCTGAGGGCACTTTCTGTCCTGAGGACTTCCCCTCAGACCCCTTGCTCTGCCAAGAGGATGTATTTCTGAGTTCTTCATAAAGTCCCACAAACAGGTTAAAAGCAGACCCCCCCGCCCCAAAAGCAGAAACACATTTTGTTAGAGAGTACATAGCTAAGACATGACATTTAAAGGAAGCAAGCTCTTCTGGGGAACTCTTGTATTGGTACGGTAGAGTTGTGGGTGGGTGCTTGGCCTCGGAATTTAATACACAAAATGGAGCATGGAGTCCCTATTTTGTGCTCAGCACTGTGCTGGATCCTGAGGAGAACGTGAAAGAAATGTGTAAGACAAGGCCCCTGCTTCTAGAAGTTCAGTTACAGTGGAGAGGACGAAGCAAACTCATGTGAAATAGCTAACCAGCAATGTAAGGGCAGTTGAGAGGAAGTGGGCACTACAGATTCAGAGAAGCTTGAGGAGCATGGGGGAAGTTCAGGGCTTCCATTCCAGGCAGGGACCACAGAACTGATTTTCAGGTGTCTGGGAGCCACTGGTGTGCCAACATGTGCCATCATGGGCCCATGAGCCTTCCATCAGACTTATTGTCACTTTACCCTCTGCTTAGACTGTCCTCCTAGCACTTTGAGTCAATGGTATTAAAGTCCGTTCTCCAAAACTGGGAAGGAACAGCCTTCTGCCTCTACCCAGAAAAGGGGGGACACCCCCACCCAGTGAGACTTCTCTGGGCCACATGCAGGTGGGCAAAGCAGGATGATGAGTACCCACAGAACCCTCCCGTGAGGTCTTGCCTCCCCAGGTGGAGTGATGGGCCAGTAGGGTATTCTGACAGAGCGCATTGTCTTTTCTAGCCCCTGGGTTTGCCCAGCAGTCAGCCGGGTGGTTTCTGAGAGTGCAGTAAAGCCAGGCATGCTCCTGGCCCCATCTGACCCTGGGCCAGAGGATGCAGCCCTGGCCCTTCAGTGACTCGTGGGATGGTTGCCGCCTAGTTCCTTCTAAACTGTTGGGCTCCTCTAGGTAACCCCAGGGGAGCCATATTAGCCTCTAGGGACAGTTACGCTCTAAAGGCACAGGAAGGAACTGGCAAAGTACATCATTCTTAGCTTCTTAAGCTAAGGTCTGAATGGCACAAAAACAATGGTACAGCTATTGCAGATTGCACACCAGAGGCTGTTCATCTACTCTTACTGCCCAGGTCATTAGCGACCCCTCACAGGACCCCAGGCTCCTGGGTCACTGAGTTCCTGATTTATCAAATGAGGTGCAGCATTTGCTGTCTTTACCACCCTTGGTGACCAAGTTCAGGTGGAGACCACACTAGTGCCTTGAAAGCACAAAACAGTAGATTTGATGAACAAGAATTTCAAGAAACACCTCCTGTTGTCCAGTTTCCTATATTTTCAGCCGGGGGGCAAAAATCAAGGTTTAGCTCGGGAGGAGCAGGAAGTGGGTTCGGCTGACTGTTGAAACCTGCTGGAAACCTGGTTTTCATTGGAAAGGGCTGTGGGTCTTGGGAGATGTTTGGGATACAGTTCCCAGCTGGAACAGGCGACTGGCCTTACTTAAGAGCTGAGCGCTTCTGAGCACCTACCATGTGCTAGGCATTGGGGATGCCTTAGACCTGGCCTCTCTTTAGAAGAGCTAATAATAGTCTAGCAAGGGAGAAGGGCACATGAACAGTTTTAGCAGTACATGGTAAGTACCATGAAACGAGTACACAGGATGCTGTAGAGGAGAATGTAGCCCACCTGAGGGTTCAGGGCAGCCTTCCTGGATGTGGGACCTCTAAACTGAGCTTGCCAAGTGAAGAAAGGTGGAAGGGCAATTCCAGGCAATGTCTGCAGATTATTAAATGCCTACTGTATGCCAGGTGCTGAAAAGCACAAAATTAGCGTGGGAAACCTAAAACAGGAGAATGTGGTGTCGTGTCTAAAACTGAGCAGTTTCATCCCTCTAGGTAATTGCCTTCTGGAAAGTGACAGGAGATGAAACTGGAGAGGTAAGCTGGTAATAAAAAGATTTTAATGTGTCCTTATTTATTGACTTTATTAACACCAGGTCTTTAGCATAAGCATCTTACCTATATTTTCTTATTTTAGCCTCAAAGCAGCCCTCTGAAGTATGGACTGTTAATTATTCCTGCTTTATTAATTGGGATGAAGCATTCAGAGGTGTTAATTAACTGGTCCAAGATCACACAGCTGGTGGAGTTGTGGTAGAGCCAGGATTAAAACTCACATCTGTTGATTGCCAAAAGACTGTTTAATTAGTTGGCCAGAGAGTGAAGAGTTGTGTCGTTTGGGCTCACACGCCACGTGAACTTTTTCTTTTCAAAGGTGAGAGGGAATCAGAGAAGGATGTGTTGAGCAGGGGAGTGAGGTGGTAGCAATTGAGTCAGACACGGCTTCTTCTGGAGGTACTTTATTCCCTCTTCCTCTCCCCTTGCCTCATTATAAGCCCCCACAGAGGCCCCACACCCAGCCAGCTTTCACCTACCAGAGCCCCTCAGTGCTGAAATGGCAGGTGGTTCAGTAACCCCTTGGAAACACTGTAAAATATTCAGGAGTTATTTAGACTTTGCTTTGTACCTCTTCCTTGCAAGAGTGTTTTGCTCTTCCTCAGAGATTAAAAAAAGAAACAAACAAAAAAAAACTTTGTGGCAGTTGAGAGGGAGAAGAGGATTTTTGTTTGAGCTAAAATTTCTCCTCTTTCTGTATCAGCCTGCTCCTCGCCACAATTTAGCCTCCGTTGAGCATCTTCTCACTAAGGAGTCTCAAGAAACAATACCACTGGAAAATGTTACAGAACACCCTGGTGTTGGAACTGTGGAAAGTTGTCTTTGGGGTCTCCACCCACTTCCCACCTGCCAGCCTGCCCTGGCTCCAGCAGGAAAGGGGGCATTGGGCAAGGCCATCTGGAGCTGCAAGAGGGGGCCCTCCTGTGGTCCTGTCCTGCAGACAGACCCATCTGGATACCTGCTCCCCTCCCTGACCAAGCCGGTAGCCTTTGGGAGGTTTGTGTAAAACCCTTAGAGAAGGTCTGATTCAGTGGGTCTGGACATAGGCACTGAAAATAAAACCAGAATCTATTAAGGCACTGAACAGGAAATGCAGATTCCTATTTGGTCCTTAGCAAAGGACCTTTGGTCCTCTGAGGTTGGTGGTGCTATTTCTACACACCCATATTACAGGTGAGAACACAGAGGTTCAGGAAGGCCTAATCAGTGGCCTATGCTCACTGGTCCATAAATGACAACTCTGAGAGAACTTGCTCCTGCAGCCTGACCTCTTCTCTTTTGCAACTTCCAACAGTGTGGACCTCTCTTCTCACACAGCCCTTTCTGCTTTTCTTCCTCACCAGAACCTCAGATAATGGCAGCAGGTGGTAAGTTATCCCACTTTCCCAACGAGAGGTCAACAGTGAGCCTAACAGTGAGAGCCTGAGATCCCTGGGGACCAGAACCCGGGGCCGCCTCCTGCAGGCCTCCCCCCACGCCTCTAGAGCCTCTGTGATTAGATTCCTGTCCTGAGATGGGTGTTTGTCCCCACTAGCGTCCCTGGAGAGAGGGCTCTTCACATGCTGCAGGTTTAGTGGCCACCAGAGGCCGACCAGAACATTCACACACTCACCCACAGCCCACTAGGTTACCAGTGAGGGGCTCTTCTCCTCCCCTCAGAACGGGGACTTTGGGGAACCACTGTTCTGAAGGACAGGGACAACCTATTTCTCCTGCGAAGGCCAGCTCTTACAACTCCTAAGAACTGATCATTAAATTTTCAGGAGTTTATGAGCTATTTAATCACAAAACTTATATAAGCTGCAATTGAGTAAATTATATGTAAAACAAACGTAATAAATACACAAAACTGATCATTTCCTAATTATTTTACTACATTGCTATTATCAGTGCCCTTGAGGTTTATGTCTATGTAGGGTGGGAATACTGTATAATGGTTTATATATATACCTGTGATATATGGTATATAACTGTAATATAATAACAAATAGTATGTTATGCTACTGGGAGTCTCTTTCCCAGCTCCTGTGTGACATTATATTGGTGGCTTGAAATTGGTCATGATGGGAATGTACACACCACAGTGAAAAATCAGGGCTGTTCCCTCCCACCAGCACCAGATAACTTGTTGTTCAGTGTTTATTTGCCATCACACTACTACCCTGGTTAAGGGCAGTCTGAGGCTGAAAAGGTGGCTGTAGGGTCTTGATGAAGACCGAGCTTTGCCAAAGATCTGGATTTCCTTCTGCATAAGGAGTTAGGGTTCTTTTATCACCACACCAATTAGTTGAGTGATGTAGAGCATCTGACTCATTTCTCTTGTGTGTCTAACCTTCTGCTTGTCAGGTTGTCATTCAGCCAAAAGAACAAAAGAGGGCTCAGTCTTGAATTCCAGAGATGCTGGGACAGACAATGTCCCTGGAGGTCACACCCGTTTGCAGCCCTGGCAGGCGTTCAGATGCACACGTGATTCCACACCAAGGAACGGAAGCTGAGCACTAAAAGGATTTAGGTCGGTGGAAAATGGCCTTCAAGGCAGGGGAAGGGCAGTTTGGGCAGGTGTCAGAAGTCACTTCCAGAAAGGACACTCAACTCTGTGCGCTCTCTCCCCAGCCAGACAGCCAAGCCCTTCTGCACAGATGCAGAAGACCCGTGGGGAGAGCGTGCTGGCTCCTCATTCCACATCACTGGAATATTCTGGGTTCTTGCCCCAGCCCTGCAGCTGAGTCGCTGGGTGATTTAGGGTACATCATCGCCCCACACGCCTGCCCCCTTGGCCCTCAGGTGTCTCCTCTTCACCTCTCATTTCATGGCCAGTCAATGGTCTGAATCAGTAGCTGGGGAGTGGTT